GTCTATTTGTATTTATATAAATCACACAAATATATATATATATATATATATATATATATATATATTTCTAGCTATCATCTCTACTCCTTAAATTTCTCTCCATTAATTTGCATGTCTTCCATTTAATGTATTTCCTTTGAAGTTATTATTGACCGGGTCAACTATTTTTGTTTTATTTGCTTCTATTCTTTTTATCAGCCAAAGAAAAAAAACCATTCATAAACGCCAATCAAAACAAGCTACAAGTATTTCAAACACTCAATGGGATTACTTGACCATTCATAAAAAGAAAAAGAAAATCTTTTTTCATGGATAACCAAGACTAAGCTCTCTAAATTTAATCAAGTCAAACACGATCCGCTCCTCATTTTTTAAAATGTCATAATTCCCATGTAGTCAGAATGACCAAATGGAAGCAAACCAAATAAAGGACCAAGCAGTTTGAACTTTCTTTCCATAAAGAAAACAGTTGTGTTGTAGAAAGTGACATTTGGGGTTGAAAGTGACATTTGCTTCAATAAGTTATGCTGAATTTATAATATAATCGTGTCCTTTGCATATAGAAGCTTATTGTCATTGATCGGTGTCACCTTTATTGTTTGCTTCCTTTTAGTTGTGTTTATTTTTTTTAGTACTATATAACCTTGGTCACTAGCAGATGAGTGAGATGAAGACACTTTCTTTAAATTCGTGCTTAACCTTTACGTTTACTAATTGAGAAAGAATATGGTTGTAATACTGACTTGTAGACTCCTTTCTCGTAAATGGCCTGTGTTTAAATCATCATGGCAGAAATAGGGGGGAAAACGGTGGGCACACATTTGGAAAGGTGTGAAAACTACACTTATAAGTTTTTTTTTTTTGAACAGAAAAAGAACTTTATTAATCTGGTACAAGAGGCACCATAAACCCATTTACAACACAAAAAGAGATAAACAACTTAACTCAGAATTGTAATACCCTCCTTTCATTGAGTGATCCTAATGTGGGAGGCCAAATAGCAACTGAAATAATATTCTACAATAAGGTGTTAATTGGTCTCGCATAATTATTAGCTGCAAGGCATATATTCAACCTCCAACACTCAACAACCTTCACAAATATAACAACATCATGGATCCTATCATTTTCACATTCTACAGTGACAAACCTCCGGTGTGCAGATGACCCTGTCACATCCCACCTTTATTCCTGAATGAGTCATCCATATATGTGCCATCATCACATAAAGATTTCTACACCAAGCTCATGCCGCCCCACCGTCCCAACATTACATACTTATATTTTAAATTACTACTCCAAATTCCGTCCCAACATTACATACTTATATTTTAAATTACTACTCCAAATTCAGGCCCTTACAATCCTTGAATAATCCCTTGTAGCCCTATTCTATAGCTTCCATGTGTTAGCCTTATGTAATTTTTCAATTTTAGCACAAGGTCCACTTCAACCATAGACAACAGCCCCACCCTGTACCCATACCTCTGAGAGGTTTTAATTGCTAGTACTACGTCATCGGGATCCATTATTTCTCTTCTATCATTTACCCCTTAAATGTTGACACCTACAATTCTTTTCTTCTTACATTTCTCCTATATTATTTTACAGTAAATCTGGTTTTCGCACTCCATTTTTAGTAAATAAGCAAGGAATGACTATCTGGAATACAAGCACCTGGATTGATGTGCCACTGTTGGTAGCTGTATTGAAATGACTTATCCAACCTTAGCCACAACCAAGTGATCATGAAGTACAATATATCTTGATATGCCTTGTCTACACTGACTTGTTGCCCTTTAAACCTGCTATTATTTCTTGACTTCTAGATGTTCAATGTAATCGTGCACCATACCACCTGCCACCTAATTCTTTCTCTGTTTGACATCCCAAAGAGAGGTTGTTAGAAGAAATTTTGAAGCAATCCTTGTGGTAGCACTGTTGTTGCCAATATCCATCCATAGCATGCCTTCCATAATCTGTCTGCAAACATGCAAGAGAACATTTCGTGCTGCAATGACTCCTCACTACTACAAGACACGCTATCTACATCGGTTCTTTAACATCATCTACATCGGTTCTAAAACCGATGTAGAAGAGAGTGAGTAAATATATATAATTTTACATCGATTCTTATTATAACCGATGTAAATCTATATGCACTGCTGTCAGAAGCGCCATGGCATCCCAATTCTCAACCTGACCATGCCGAATCGAAAACCCAATTGAGACTTGGAAAGTGCGTATACCTGCTATAAAACATGGCTCAACATTACCGGCAAACCCCATCTTTGTATACCTGCAAAAAAAGACACCATTTTCCAAAATTCAGAGTAAACCCAAGTCACAAAAGTAAGCAAACATCGGTGGAGCATTTCAACAAACATGTGGTGTCCATTATCGATGTAGCAAAAAAAGCTACATATTGCGTAGCATAAAAACTAGGTGATGGAAAGGGAGGAAAAGGGTACTCGGAAGCGTCGGCATCGGAGAAGAAGCGGTGCTCGTCGAGGAAGTTGATCGGCGAGGATGCCTTGACGGAGTGTACGAACTCAAAGAATGGAGTGTTGTATTCAAAGCTCTGCGCCAAGTGACTCCTTTCTCCATTAAGAGCTCTGAGCTTCTGGGGTTGTTGCGGACGTCGTGGACGACGACGGCGGCCTCGACCTCCCAGCCCTGGCGGTACTGCTGCACCACCTTGTTGGTGAAGAAGGGGACGGTCATGATGCGGCGCATCTTGCGCCAGTGCTCGCCGTAAACGGTGAAGACCATGTCCTGGCCCTTCCCAGTGAAGATTTCGAACACCACGTTGCACGTGTGGGACCCGAACTCCATGCCCTGCGTGTGCAGCACCTCTTTTTCCAGCTCCGGCGACGACACCACCACCAGGTTCCGCTGCCCCATGCGGAGGAGGAAGATGTCGTCGAACTTCTTCGCCAGGTCGGTGAGGTTGCGGTGGTTGAGGTCGTCTCCCACCTGGAGCCAATTTTTGTTTTTGAAGTTGCTGGTTGAGGAAGGAAAATATACTACATTGGTTATTTTGAAAATCGACGTAGATCTACTCGTAAATATTTACAAAATTGTCGCCCATTTAAATCTATATCGATCCAATTAAAAATGATGTAAAATGTTCAATAATTACATCAATTTTGTACATAATCGATGCAAATTTGCTTTACATCCAATCTTTACATCGATTCTACCTAAATCGACGTAGAATTGACGATGTTGATCGGTCACTTTCTAGTAGTGGGCCTCTACATCCCCACATAGAAGTGCTCCTTGTGTTAACATCAACCAGGCTAATTATAGTTCTTCTGCTTAAATTTTCCATTGTCGCTAAGGTATTATGATGCATCTTCCAACAAAATAGTGCAACTTTCGAAGGGATATCCAACTTCCATAATGTTTTGAAGAAAGGATGCTACTAAACCTTAAACTACACTTATAAGTATATTTAAGTTCCAAATTAAATATGATTAATCAATGAATGTAAATTAACCAAAAAAAAAAAAACAATGCATGAGAGCAATGATAATTATTTATTAGGTAATGATATTTAAAACCTTCATTTTTTTTTAAATACATTTCATCAACACCTTATATTTTCTTCTTCTTTCTAAGTGTTTAATAGCATATTGAGTGTCTTAAAATCATTTTTGTTAGATTATTTTGTATGTTTAAAAGAAAGTTGGAATATAAACAGGACTGATTTAATGATATGTGAGGCCTAAAATAAAATAATTAATATTATATTAAAAGTTAAAAAAAATATATTTATTTTAAGATATTTTTTAAATGTTAAAATTATCGTAATTGTGGGAGACAGAGTAATACTAATGCAACCTTTCTCGAAAAAAGATTCGTTACTGGTTTTGGAGTTTGCTTAATACAGCTCTTTTGTGCTTGCTAAATCTGGCTGGACTCTAGCTAGCTGTGGTGCAAGTGCGTGAGGGGAGCATTTGCTCTTTTAAATTACGTTATGAGGCTTTATGATATGCGATTTCAATCTATTATTTTCAAAACAGAACTACTATGGTATCCTTTTAAATTAAGATCTTTTGTTATAATTTATTTTTAAAATCAATAAAAATGATTTAAAGTATTTTTTTACTTTTATTTTTTTTCTTTCTACACTAAGTGATATATTATTGATAAATAGATAATTTAAGTAATTAATTAACTTATTCTTTTTTCTCATTTAATATTAGTCTAAGTATTTTAAACCATTTTTTAAAAATTAAAATAACATTAAAAAAATATATCATAACTCATAATATATAATAAAAAATATCCTTAATAAATTCAAATCTTTCATCTAATATATATATATATATATTAAGAATTTTTAAAAAATAATAAAAATAATCAAATTATTCTAAAATATTAAATGTTCACGTATTTTTTTAAGGAAACCGTAGAATTTCTGTAGTGTTGATTATGCAATTGATGTTTGACAGAGTTTGGTATGCATGTTGCTCACATTTGACAACTGTTGGTAGCCAATAGAAGGTTTAGAATTCAATATATTAGAACACAAGTTGGCTAGGAGTTCAATTACTCTAATCATAGAATTTTTTTTTTCAGTTATTCCACAACGTATGCATGACTCTAATCACAAGATTTTTATGGCATTAAAATATCATTTAAAATATATTAAAGGAAATACTACTATAGGAGTCAACTAAATTAATTGCTCCTCTGTCATACAAAAAAAAGAGAGGGAATGGTTACCGTTACGAACTTTATGGCGGGAATCTTGTTCAAAGAACGTGGGATGTTTTTTACGGGAACCTTTGGAGGATGTTAACCGGAAAACCACCTTCCATCTGGGAAGTCAAGAAGGAAGTGTAGTGAGGCTCTACCCCAGGGGTCGCCTCCGGAACCACCGTGAAACGCCTGAGAATGCCAGCCACCAATCTCTTCATTTGCATAAAAGCCATTTCCTTGCCCAAACAAACCCTAGGACCTGCCTGAAATACTGGATAAGTGAAAGAATCTCTTCCCACAAACTTCCACTTTCCAGAGTCAACCTTCTCTAACCATCTCTCAGGCTTAAACTCAGCCCAATCATCACCCCAAATACTCTCCATCCTCCCCATCGCTTACACGTGATATGTTATCATCATCCCCTTCTTCATCGGTGTCCCATCTGGCAAAACGTCGTCCTCCACTGTTTCCTTAGTGTCTAAAGGCACCGGCGGGTACAACCTCATGCTCTCGCACAACGCCGCGTGCGTGTAAACCATATCCTTCACTTCATCGTACACTGGAGCCTCTGATTTCTCCATTATCTCCTTCACAATCTCCTTCTCCACGTGCGGGTTCTTCCACAGCAGCCAGAAAAACCACGTCAGCGCCGCCGACGTCGAGTCCTTCCCGGCTACTATGAAACTTATAACTATGTCCGTCACGAAGTCCTCGTCGGAGTGCCCCGAACTCAAGAACCGCGAAAGCATGTCCACCGATTCAAGCGAGGCCTTCTCCTTCAGCTCCCTTCTTTTCTCTCTCACTATCTTCTTCGCGAACTCGTGCACTTCCCTCACTGCCATATTTTTAAAATCAATAAAAATGATTTAAAGTATTTTTTTACTTTTATTTTTTTTCTTTCTACACTAAGTGATATATTATTGATAAATAGATAATTTAAGTAATTAATTAACTTATTCTTTTTTCTCATTTAATATTAGTCTAAGTATTTTAAACCATTTTTTAAAAATTAAAATAACATTAAAAAAATATATCATAACTCATAATATATAATAAAAAATATCCTTAATAAATTCAAATCTTTCATCTAATATATATATATATATATTAAGAATTTTTAAAAAATAATAAAAATAATCAAATTATTCTAAAATATTAAATGTTCACGTATTTTTTTAAGGAAACCGTAGAATTTCTGTAGTGTTGATTATGCAATTGATGTTTGACAGAGTTTGGTATGCATGTTGCTCACATTTGACAACTGTTGGTAGCCAATAGAAGGTTTAGAATTCAATATATTAGAACACAAGTTGGCTAGGAGTTCAATTACTCTAATCATAGAATTTTTTTTTTCAGTTATTCCACAACGTATGCATGACTCTAATCACAAGATTTTTATGGCATTAAAATATCATTTAAAATATATTAAAGGAAATACTACTATAGGAGTCAACTAAATTAATTGCTCCTCTGTCATACAAAAAAAAGAGAGGGAATGGTTACCGTTACGAACTTTATGGCGGGAATCTTGTTCAAAGAACGTGGGATGTTTTTTACGGGAACCTTTGGAGGATGTTAACCGGAAAACCACCTTCCATCTGGGAAGTCAAGAAGGAAGTGTAGTGAGGCTCTACCCCAGGGGTCGCCTCCGGAACCACCGTGAAACGCCTGAGAATGCCAGCCACCAATCTCTTCATTTGCATAAAAGCCATTTCCTTGCCCAAACAAACCCTAGGACCTGCCTGAAATACTGGATAAGTGAAAGAATCTCTTCCCACAAACTTCCACTTTCCAGAGTCAACCTTCTCTAACCATCTCTCAGGCTTAAACTCAGCCCAATCATCACCCCAAATACTCTCCATCCTCCCCATCGCTTACACGTGATATGTTATCATCATCCCCTTCTTCATCGGTGTCCCATCTGGCAAAACGTCGTCCTCCACTGTTTCCTTAGTGTCTAAAGGCACCGGCGGGTACAACCTCATGCTCTCGCACAACGCCGCGTGCGTGTAAACCATATCCTTCACTTCATCGTACACTGGAGCCTCTGATTTCTCCATTATCTCCTTCACAATCTCCTTCTCCACGTGCGGGTTCTTCCACAGCAGCCAGAAAAACCACGTCAGCGCCGCCGACGTCGAGTCCTTCCCGGCTACTATGAAACTTATAACTATGTCCGTCACGAAGTCCTCGTCGGAGTGCCCCGAACTCAAGAACCGCGAAAGCATGTCCACCGATTCAAGCGAGGCCTTCTCCTTCAGCTCCCTTCTTTTCTCTCTCACTATCTTCTTCGCGAACTCGTGCACTTCCCTCACTGCCATTCGCAATCGCTTTTCCGAACCTATGTTAAGCACCCTCTTGACTTTCCAGATTAACGGAAACGGATCCCTGAACCGTTTGCTGCTGATCTCCGTAGCTTCTTCGAATGCTTGCGCAAACTTGCTCCGTTCAACTGACGGTGTCAGGTACTCGGGGTCGAAGCCAAATGCGATTTTGCAGATGTTGTCGAAGGCGAAGCGTTGGAGAATGTCTTGGAAATCTAGGGTTTGGTCTTGTGTTGCTGCCGTCGAAGCGAGGATGGGGAGGAGACGATCCGAGAGCTCGGTGTCAACCACGTGTTCAATGAACTTGCGAAGAGACTTTGTGTTGAACTCGGGGTTGGCCACTTTCCTCTGAAACTTCCACGTGTCACCGTCGGCGTTGAAGATCCCCGTGCCGAGGAAATCGGAGAGAGTGTGAGTAGGAGTGCTTCCCTTTTGGTAATTGGTGAAACGGAACTTAAGAATGTACTCTACGGTGGCGGGGTTTCCGGTGAAGACATGCCGGCGGCCCAAGGGGCGGTGGAAGGTGAAGGTTGCCGTGGGTGAGATTTTGACCATGTCGGAAAGCCACTGGGTACGGTGGTTACCGACGGCTTTGATGGCTAAGTAGGAACCAATAAGTGGGTATACTTTTGGGAGGGTGATGCTTCTTGTGGGAGTTGTCTCTTTCTTCTTCAAACCTGCAAAGAAGAAAATGAAGAAAAGCACAGGAATGATGAAGAAAAGGAAGAAAGGAGCTAACACCTGCAGATTCAGAAGCATCTCAATCCTTTCCCTAAGTTCAGATACTAAACAGTTAACATAAAACATCATGTATGTGAGTTTTCTAAAGTCGAGAAAGTTTATTTCACGTAAATAAGGAGTCCAACTTTGTGTCTGGTGGCATAATGCATGAGCATGAGGTAACGATGTTTTCTCATTGTTGGTGAACGTACGTTTTCTTAAATATAAATTTAAAAGTGCTTTTTCCTTTATTTTTTCCTTTGGTACATGGGACGTTTTCTTTTGGTTTTACCAAATAAACATAATTTTTCATATTATTTATTAAAATAATATAATTATTATAGCTCAATTTAAAATAATTTTCATTGTGTTTTTGTGATAATTTATATAACGCAGGGTATTGTGTCACTTTAACTAAATATATCTATTGACTATTAAAATAAAATTAAAAAAATTACATAACTATCAAGTAAAGCATGATTTAGATAACCTCAAGCAGCACGCATAAGCAAGGTCAGGGGTTCGAATCTTGTCTAATTTCCTCCGACGTCTGCTATCACCAATGTAAGAGAACAAATTT